CCCCCCCCCCGGGATTTAGGGCTTGGGGCCCCCCTCCTTAGCCCCACCGTTCCTGGGGCCTGTTTCCTCTCATCCGCCCCTCCCTCACCTCCTTTCGGCATAGCGGCGGTGATGGCGGCTCCGGCAGCAGCTGCAGCGAGTCCCCCAGTCCTCGACCCGGAAGCGGAAGCCGCACACCGCAGCCCCAGCGCGCGGCTCCCTCCTCAGCCCAGTCACCAAGCCTGGCCCTGGAGCACGAGGCCCCCAGCACAAGGGCTAACCGCAGCACTGCCTGAGTACAAACCGAGCCGCTACCTTCCCATTGCCCCTCACTCACGGCACCAGTGGTGAGGCCTGTCCCTGCTCCTTCCTTCCGCACCCGGGGCGGGGGAGGAGAGGGAAATTCCTTACAGGCATTACAATGGACACCAAATGCACGCGAGGATTGCGGTGAAACTCGCGCTCCCCACCCAGAAAACGGCGAGTGAATTTAGTCATTAAAGCGACTAGGCAGCGGAAGGACCCCAGCTGCTTGTGACGCCATAGGGGAGCGACGGATTTGAAAAGGCGGAAGCTGTAAATAGTGATCGTCTTTTTCTCTCCCGGCAGGTGAGCTCCTTTCTTTCCGGGAGAGCGATATTCCCCGGGGCGGCGGTGGGTCGCATTGCACTGCCCGACACGCCGCTGGGCGGGGTGAGAGTAGGGCAGGGGGTACTAGGCCACAGGCAGGCTATTGTAAGAGGTGGCGTGTTCTCCCTTAGAGTCTAGCAACGAGAGACCTGCGCCTGGCCTGCTCCTTATTCCAGCCAGCCCGCTTCGACCGTCCCTTGGGGTGTCTGGTCTGGGTCTCCTACAGAGATAGTCCCCTAGCTACACGCAGCAACTACGGGTCAATATTACCAGCTTTCAGCCCAGCCCAGGATGTTTAAACTCAGGTTTTCCTTGACCTGGCTAGGTGGTTTCACAATATCTGTGTATAATGGTTACGGCCATAGTCTGTGGTTAAAAGCAAATGTGAGGGGAGCTAAGACTCGGCGATTCCCAGCTTTGTCACTGACTGCCGGGTGATATTTGGCTTCCTGGCCTTTACAATGGCAGTTATGATGCCTACGTATCTCTCAGTAGTTTGTGACGCATAATAGGTCTTTGGATTTAAGACATTAGAGAAGGGTAAAGTACTATTAACTGGGAAACCTGCCCTGAAAAGTGAAGGAATATGTTATGAATTAAAACGGAAATTAGGAAAGGCTCCCTCCCTCCTATACACTGATAACATGTTAAACACTTATTCATTGTTTAAAAAAAAAAAAACTTGTCAGACCATTTTTCAGAGTAGCAGCCGTGTTAGTCTGTATCCGCAAAAAGAACAGGAGTACTTGTGGCACCTTAGAGACTAACAAATTATGTAGATTGTAATGGATTTTTTACCTTTAGTCCTTTTGGTATGGTGTCCATCTGCTTGCATTTGGAAAGGAAGATGATGTCTGTCTGTATCTGTGTGAGTTTTTTCATGAAGTTGATGGATTTCCACTCCATACGGCTAAATGCAGTGCCTTGCATAATGACAGGTTTCAGAGTAGCAGCCGTGTTAGTCTGTATCTGCAAAAAGAACAGGAGTACTTGTGCCCCCTTAGAGACTAACAAATTTGTTAGTCTCTAA